TGGATCCTTACACTTTAATAACAAAGTGCCCTTTTGACTTTTTCCCGCAAATACCTGTAAATCCACTTCACCGCCTCCTAATAATACTTGCCTTGATTGCCTATGTACCTACTGACCACTCTCACTATATATGCAATATCTGGTTTCATACAAATCATAATTTAAATCAGACTCCCAACTATTGAGCATATGAAGTTCTCTCCATCTATGCTTGCCCTGCTTTAGACTCAAGTGGTAATTCCTTAGATAGTTTGAAATGACTATCCAAGGGGGTATAAACTGGTTTTGCGCACCCGTATTGAAGCTCAATAGTATCTTTCCAACAAACTCTACCTGAGACTACTTTAGTGTACTTTCACTCTTGTTCTGCTGATTCTCATACCAAGGATCTTCTTGGTTGGACTTAAATTCTTCATCTTGAACACATTTGATAATTTTTCTGTTAAGTCTTTGATTTTCTCCATATCTACACACACAATCATTATGTCATCCGCATGCAAAAGGAGTAAGATATAATAATTATCAAAATTTTTGATGAAACAACAGTGGTGAGCTTGACATTTCATGCACCCATTGTCTGACGTGAATCTGTCAAATCTCTTGTAGCATTGTCCCGTGTCCTACTTCAAGCCATAAAGATTTTTTTTTTATCCTGCGGTTGCTCCATGTATTATTCCTCCAGATTTTAATTTAGGAAAGCTGTTTTTGCATCCATTTGCTCCAGATTTAGTCTTCCCTTGCTGTAGACTCAACACAACTTTAATTGTTATCATCTTCACCACTAGAAAAAAAATCTATGTATAGTTCACTTGTTTCTTTTGCTTGAACCCCTTCACAACAAGCCTTATATTGCAGTGTCTGCTGCCATCTGACTCGTCTTTTAGCCCGTGGACCCATGTGTTGTATGGTACTCTTTTTTCATATGGTAATACCCTTAGATCCTTAGCCCGATTTGACTCCGAAGATTTTCTCTCATTATCCATGATAAGCTCACACTTCATTTAATCTCCAACTTGAGTGGCATCCCCAAAGCCCTCTGGTTCACCATTATCAGCTAGCAACAATTAGTGTAACAAAGGAAAATACATGTTTACCAGTTGTATCACTCTACTGGACCTCCTGACTTTAGTAGCAGGTGATTGAGAAACTTTTTGTGCTTTATCTAATTGAGCACTTCTTCTTTCTCCACCCTTCCGATCAGTAGTGTCTTTTGTCTCAATATACTCAGACTCTTCAGATTTCACTGATGAAATATCTTGAGTTCTTCTCCTGTCCTTGTACATCGTCATTTCATTGAACGTGACATCCCTATTTTTGATGAACTTCTGTTTATAATATTCTTAAAATTTATACCCAAACTCATCGGAGCTATATCCAATGAAGGTGCACTTGATAGATTCTGAATCAAGCTTACTCCCGGACCTTATATTGCTACGAACATATGTAAAACACCTACATACGTTTAAATGAGATAAATTTATCTTCTTATCACTTCAAACTCCTTTAGGTAAACAACAGTGTTTATTGCTTATGCCCAAAACTATTTGACAAGATTGCATGCAGCCTCATGCTCTTGGCACATTTTGTGATTGGTTTTTTTTGATGCACTAAGCTCTAATTTTGCTGTTGAGTTCTTGGGACAGTGAACTCAAGCTTGTTCTCTTATATAACATAGAAATTTTTGAACTTCTGATCACATTCCCACCCTTATTTTTTGATACGAGACATTTCATCTTTAATTCTGTCTCATTTCCTACTAGTCTTCCACTTCTTAAATACTTCAAATACTTCTAATTTTTGTTTTATGTAAACCCACACTTTTCTGTTATAAATGTCAATAAACATGATAAAGTAGTTGGAACCTTCAATGGATTGAACTGAGTGGGTCCCCATACATTAGTATGCACTAACTTCAGTTTTTTTGACTTTACAACATACTCACTTTTAGAAAATATTTTCCCTATATACAGTCTTCATTGCACCCTAAATCTACTGATTTCAAACTCTGAAGTTAATTTTTAGAGAGTATGTACTTCATATCTTTCTCGATCATATGGGCAAGCCTACGATACTAGAGATGCATCCACTTTGGTTCCAATCACATTAGGTAAATCCACCATTTCATCGCCAAGTAAAGATTGCCTTCAATGTTGCCCCGAGCCATCACGTTTGCCCTATAATCAACTTCCACGAGTCTGCTGTGAAAGTAGTCACGTGTCCTGACTTTGTGAACTGGCTAACAAAGATGATATTTCACTTCAAACTCGGAACATGTAAAACTTCAGTAAGCTTCCAGATCATTCCATTTGACAAGTTGATGTCCACATCACCCTTTCATACGATATTACAAACCTTGTTGTTTCTCAGATAACCATTTCCTAAATTACTTTTAGTGTAATTTCTAGACACTTCTTTGTTGCGGCATGTACGAAAAAAGACATCTAAATCTACTATCCAAGATTCAACGCTAACTAGGGATTTCAACTGTAGGGGCATTTATAGAGAGATTTCTTTCTCATCTTCCCCCATCAACTTCTTTGGAGCTTTGCAGTCATTTTTACAATGCCCTTTCCTTCCACAGTTCTAGCATTCACCTATGTCATTTCCTCTACTTGGCCTTGACTTTCTTCTTCTGGATTTGAATCTATCTCTTCTTGTATTCCTGTCTAGTTTGCTTCCCCTATTTTTAACATTCAACAAAGAACCTGAAGATTCATCATTCTTTGCTTTTCTGTGAACTTTCCTTATTTAGCACCAACCCCACAATGTTATTAAAGTTCAACTTCATATTCTCAGAAGAGTTATTTACCGTCGTGACCAATCTATCCCAGCTGTTTTGCAATAAAAACAAAATTAGTTGTGCCCTGACTTCTCTAAATTTGATCCCCACATAACACAACTAGCTCGTTACAGTGTTGAACATATTCAGATGTTCTTCCACTGAACTGCCTTCCAAAATTTTCATGTTTAATAACCTCTTCATAAAAAAAAAATATATATTTTAAAAAGGAAGGTTTTTCGTACATCTTTGTCACTGACGCCAAGAGATCTATCATTTTGTCATTCACTATGTTGAACGCAATAAACGAATAAAGTGATAAACTGATCAAACTCAAGGTTGTTCAATCCAGCACCTCCCATTACTCCATAGTCATAGATTTAGGATTCTTTATGATTCCTTATAGTGATAGATATAGTTCTTTTTGGTACAATAAATCCTCCACTTGTATGCTTCAAAACGCGAGGTTTGATCCGTTAAACTTCTCCACTTTAATTCTTATTTCGTCAGTCATTGCTCCCACAGGAATCATACACTCCGCTTTGATACCACATGTTGGGATAGAACTATATATTTAGGGCTTTAATCAATTAGAAATCAAAACCACATTGCGTAAAGAATCACAAAAAATTTGAGAAACCCAAAACAAAATAAATCAAACAAAAACGTTACAAAACAGTTTCAGACAAAAGCACACCGGGATTTGCATGGAAAACCCCAATAATAGAGAAAAACCATGGAGCCTCACTTCCAAGAAATTTTCACAATGAAGAATAAAAAATGTGCAGAAATGCTTATTCAGATCTTCTCTATAATCAATAGAACTTACAGAAATTCGCTCCAAGTTTCCTCTCAATTTCACAAGCGAAAGCTCTCGTTACTAGATCCCCGATTCTTTTCTGTTTCATGAGAATCTTGTTGAAAGTACCACACACGAGAGTAATTCCCTTCGTCACTCCAGTCGTGAACTTAAGGAGCCGAACATATTGAATCGTTTGGCCGTGCGGTCATGCTGAGTAGCGGTGTAAATATTTTGCCCGCTCGTGAAGAATCACTGAAATGAACGATCCTTTGTGACATAGCTTTGCCAAGCCCAGGCGCTGATGCTTCTTGCAGAAGTGGGTGTATCCAGGCTCCACAACACAACAAATTGGAGTTAACGTCTATCAAAAATAGGGTAGTTGAAAATAGGTTTTAGATGGCCTGGACTTGTATGTCGGAGGAAATTTCTTATTGTGTAGGAAGAAAAATTGAATAATTGATGGTAATGTTGATAGAATTGTTCAAGAGGAATTCACATGTTTTGGCATCTTATATATTTCATGCAATACTTGAATGGAACAAAAGGAAAATTTGTGTTTGTAAAGTTGGCTCCAAATATTTGAGATAACATTTTAATCTTCATAGAGTAAGAGGTAATGTTGCATACATCAAGCTCTTTTTAGAGATTAAATTGGTGAGAGCCCCTTGCTCTTCTACTCAGGGTTGACTTATTGTTGTATAAAAACAAATTATTCAAGTGTCAAAATAGTCAACTCAATGGTTGCATGGGTCTATTTAGTCCCAAAGTTTATTGCTAAATCAGTCTCCTGACTCTTTTATTATAGTTTAAAATAGTCTCCATGGATGATTATTTTAGCCTTCATTATAAATTTTTGGTACTAAATTGACACTTCATAGATTGCAGGATCAGAGATATTTTGACACTTCTTTTAAAACCAAATAAATTGAAATGTTCAGCAGTAGACTAGTTATCAGAAAATGATTTATGGTTTTTTATTGTTTTAATTGTGGATCATTCTATGAAGCACTTAGGGACCTTGCTTTCTTCGGACAAGCTTGAAGAGGTCCAACAGGGCGATTCAAATAGCCTGCCTGCTGTTTACTATTTCCCTGTTGGGTGGCAGCTTTCCACGGGTGTTGATTAGTACAAGTCCGTCTGAAGCATTTAAGCATATTAATAAAATGATTCAGGTTTAATTATTGTTTTATTCTACCAATGGATTACAACCAAATTATTGCAATTTCTGCCTTAGTTTCTTGAAACGTGACTGTACACCCTGTGTAAGTTATCATTAATTTGTCATTTTTTAATCATCTCAAAAATTCAATAGCTGAATCAGTCATCTTTCCACCACATTCAGCTTAAAACGTTTTTGGAGGGATGGTTACAAAGAAAAATGCTTAAATTCAAGTTCTTTATGTTTTTTAATTTTCACAGAAAACATGCTGTTGAATGAGGATCAGAAAACAGTGAAATTAGCGGATCTTGGCTTGGCAAGGGAAGAGACTTTAACTGAGATGATGACATCCGAGACAGGAACATACCGTTGGATGGCTCCAGAGGTTTTCCAGTTTTAAGAGTACTCTTTTTTACCTTTTCTCAGAATTATTGAATATATCCTAACAAAAACTTTCATGATGCAGTTGTATAGCACTGTCACTTTAAGGCATGGAGAAAAGAAACATTACAATCACAAGGTTGATGTTTACAGCTTTGCTATAGTGTTATGGGAGCTTCTACATAATAAATTGCCATTTGAGGGCATGTCAAACCTTCAAGCTGCATATGCAGCTGCTTTCAAAGTAACTTCTAGCACTCTCAGCCACGTACTTTGAACGCTGCTATTGATCTGCAGTTCTGTTTTCTATGGGGCTATTTGGAATCACTGTCGTTTTTTAATTTTATATTTATGTTTCTTATTTTGTTTTGTTTATGTATTATTTTGAAACAAAGTATAATTGACATATTTAATTATGGTATGATTGTTTCAAAAATATTCAAAAATACTTAGAAGTTATTTCAAGTGTTTTTAAAAAAATTGTTTTTTGAAATAATGAAGAAAATTATATAGAAAACACACCAAATAAATACATAAAAAAAAAGAAAAAACAAAATTGATCCTGAAGAACCCTTGACTGAATTTGAATTTATCTTGCAGAATGCTAGGCCGAGTGCGGAAAACCTTCCTGAAGAACTGGCAGTGATTTTAACCTCTTGCTGGAAAGAGGATCCAAATGCACGCCCCAACTTTAGCCAAATCGCTCAAATGCTCCTGCACTATCTTTCAACTCTTTCGCCTCCCGAGCCTGTAGCTCCTCCATGCTTCTTTGGACCTGATAACGTTGGCTTACCACCTGAGTCACCTGGAACAAGCTCTATGGTTGCCATCCTCCCCCGCGATGGCATGGGAGGCACTCCAAATAGCTCTTCTGAGGCCGAAGGAAAAGGATTTTTTTCCTGCTTCAACTACTGCTGCTGATTTTCAAAATTAGAAAACAATACTGATGAAGCTGTTGCTATGCCTATGCTACTAGAAACTTTCAAGGGAAAATCGATTTCTTCGCTCTGCTGCTGAGGCAATGAATGCTACCTGATCTTATACTTGTAAGTAATTTGTATTCAAATGGCTCTGACGAAGTGGCTGAAAGGAGGCGGCCTTGAATCTGAAGCACTGTTTTTTTAGGAGGGATCACATTATATGTAGAATCAGGAAGTTTTTCTTCTGTTAAATAACTTTTAATATGTTAAAAAATCAGCAAATTAATCATAATTACGGTTGCCTTGTTCCAACTATTTGGAGGCAATTTATAGTTTTTACTTCTAATTTTGTTTGTGCTATATGAGCTTTAATTTCTATGTTACACAAGTCTATAATACAGTGATAAGGCAAGGTGGGATTCCCACGTCTTTTTATTGCTATTTTTTGCATAGTTTTTAAGCAATATAGACTCCTGATTACAGAGTTGAGGCATATTCACCAAAACCAAGGGGAACTTGTGATAAGATAGTTGCCTTGGCTCAAGGATTTTGCCTGCATCATTTGCCAGCATGCTTGCGTCATCTTTCATTTCTATGATCAATTGATTTGGGACTTTTTTTACAGGTTTCATTAATGTTCTGATCATAATATGTACAGATGTCTATAAGCGTTCGATAATATTTTTTTATTCGTTCTTCATGAGGTAATGCTTTAATATTTTTGGTAGCGCTAAAATACCCTACAAATAGAAGGTTTAGTAGCCATTTTTTGAGATGATCTCTTTGGGTTTTTTGTGTTGGAAGTAAAATTCTACCCTCTCCTTCCCTCTCTCTCCTTCCTTCCTCCGGTAATTTTGGTAGGGTTTTGGCATTACCACCAACAAATTTGTGTGGTGGATAATGTAAACTCAAATTCTGAAGTTCAAATTGAATTGAAATAATTTAAAGTGAGAATTGATCTTTTCTATCATATAGCTTATTTTGAATGGATCATTTTTTTACTCGGCATCAGTGATGCTTTGAAGTGCTACTGATACAGATCAAAGTTATGAAGTATGGACCTTAAAAAAGTTTTAAACAAACCTTAAAACTGAATGAAACAAACTTTAGTAAATCTTAATTAATTTTGGAAGTGATAAAAAATCTTTAAAAATTTTTTTAAAGAGCCTTAATAACTTTAAAAAAAAAATTAAAATAAAAGAAAATAATAACATTGACAAATTAATCTTTAAGTGTTTAAATTTTTAAAACAATTCAGTTTTAAAATTTAACACCATTTTAAAATATAATAACAAATCTACACAAAATCAAACCTAAATGTCAACTAAAAATAAACCTAAAAAATTAAATTAACCTAACAAACTCAAGTCTTAACTCAAGTGAAATCAATCTTCGTCTAAGCTTATCCAAATTTTTTAGTTCCAATCATTTTATCTGTATCTTTAAAATCTATCACCTCACAGACATTTGCTATTAATTGAGAAAGATATAAGAAATAACTTCAATTGAGAGTATTCTCAAGAGTTAATCCTGAAATTTAATTAACTATGAGGGAGCCTCCGAATATAGATATTAGACCTCAAAATAAATAAATTTTATCTTACACCAGCAAAATAAGGAAAAACCTTAGTTCCTTCGACATGTAAATCATGAAGATTTTCATGAGCTGAGTACTAGATTCATTCTAAGACTATTTCTATCATTTTGGATAGTATAGTATTCCTTAAATGCGGTATTTGATCATTTAGATTAAAATCATTCGAGATTTATCTTGACTACAAAATAAAAAAAACTCCCCAAATACTCGACTAATATAAAATCAAAATTCAATCATAAAATTCATTTATCTATTCAATTATACCATCTCAATTACGTTACTGTTTTTTGAATAAATTTTTGTAACTTTAGTTAAAAAAATTATTGATCCCTTGACGCTTAGAAAAGAAATTTGCATCAATTTTTAAACCGAGCTTCACTTCAAGCTTCCCCCAAAAAGTTTCTGAAATATTTTCTTTTTTTATTATGAACCTTTTCGAAACTTTTCTTCTACCTCATTTCTTTTAATTTTTTTTCTTTTGACTTTGACTTTTCTTCTCATTTTTTGTCGGGAATTACCATATCTATGTAAGTTCTTTTTGATGATTTTGAATCCTAAAAAATCTTCTCAAGTCAAATTTTCATAAGTATATAACTTAATTAAAAAAGTTGTGGTTCAGGAGTGATAACTAAGAATCAAATTGTTTAAATCAAGTAGTTAATAATTTTCACAGTATCGAAATATCAATTATATATATAACTATTATTTAGCTTAAGTGTTTAGCATAGGTTATAAAGATAAGTATGTACTTGGAAATAATGTATGGAAACGTAAAGTGTCGGAAGAAGTCCTTGATGTTGTGGGTAAACAAAATACCACTTTCAGGAACAATCATCGAGAAAAGAGTTATTAAAGATACCCTTTAAGATCAATCAAATAAACATTAAAGAAATTAAGAGCTTATCTCAAGCAATTATTACTAAAAAGAAAAGGAAATTTTTCCAACGACCTGAATGAAAAGTTCTGAGAGGTAAACATGATGGAGACACGAGCTACCTTGTCAACACGAGAGGTACCGTTGCCAATCAAAGATATAACAAAAGAATTACTAAATGCTATACAATATCGAGATGAACAAATTGCCCGTCTTGAAGCAAAAGTTAACAAAATGATGAGTGCATTATCAACTCTACAAAGTTCACCACCAAAGAATCCAACCCCTGCTGTGGAAATTGTTCAACTTGAAGCAATGCATATTATTGAAAGAGAACCAACAAAAATAGAAGAAAGTACTCAAAAGAGTAAGGATTCCACTCAAAGTGTAATTCAGAAAAAGAAATAACATAATTAGTGGAGCAAAAGCTAAGGGAAACAATGGCCCAGGTAAAGGCTAGATCATTAATTCCAAAGGGTAGACCTTATCTGGAATAATTTGATTCTATCAAATACCCTAAAGGTTTTGTTCCACCTATTTTAAAAATATTTGATGGGACTGGCAACCCACATCAGCATCTTGCATACTTTAAAGCAAGTTGTTGCAATGCGGGAGGAAGTGATGCTCTCTTATTCCACTAATTTGTTAACAACCTTACAGGGTTTGTTTTCAATTGGTATGCAAAGCTTCTCAATGGGTTCGTTAAAACTTTTACTGAACTTGAAAATCTTTTTTATCAGTGATTCGCTGGAGTACAACACCGTATGATTATTGGACATTTGGTGGTGGAAAAGCAAAAACCAGGAGAAACTTTGGTGTATTGCATTTTGCATCGGAGAAACCTCAGCATGAAATGTGAACCACAACTTCAAAAACATGTAGTTGAAATTTTACTCAAGAATATCCATGGACCAATAACATTCATGCTTAAAGGGTTCACAATCAAGACATTTGAAAAGCTACTCAGTAAACCCGCTAACCTTCAAGAAAAGGCCAAGCAGATGAGCATAACAGAACAGAAAAAAAAATCAAAGCTGGTTAAGGCTTTTGAAAAGAAATCAAGAAGCATTTTAGCAGTAGAAAAGGGTAAGCAACCGATGAACGTGCAACCTGAACAGATGTAGCAGCGACAGAACATCATCTAAACACAACAACAAGCACTTTCCCAGTTACAATTTCAATCCGCAAAACCAACACAAATGGAAACAAAATCAATGACAGAAAAAATGAACAAGGAGTACCCATTCAAGATAGAAGCTGTAGCAAACATATTCTGTACCCTATTAAAGGTGTCGTAATTCAAGCTACCTAAAGTTAAGAGGCCAAGAGAAGTTGACATGAAAGATCATCCTAACTACTGTCCTTACCACAGGATCCTTGGACATAAGATTGAAGAATGCTTTGTATTCAAAGATTGGCTTGAACATAACTTCAAAGCAGGGAAAATAATCATCCTGAAAGAATATCTGAAGGAACCTGAAAAAGTTTCAGTCAATATGATTTTGGCAGATGAATTTATTCCTCGCAGTAGATATAAAGATAAAGACAAACAGAGCATGGAGTGAGATAAACTCTTGAGAAGACCTTTGCGGACCTACAAATTACTCAAGCTTCAACATTGACAACAAAATCTTCCAATAAAGAGAAGAAAAAGAAAGAACTAAAGAGGATTAAAGATCTTCAAAATATAGTTGTTATCTTTTCCTTTGAATCTCCTACTCCTTTTGTATACTCTACTAGATTAGTTATCTCGTATAAAAAGAGGAAATCCCTCGAGCCACTGACATTGTATGACTTCTTGTTTGCCCCAGAAATGAATGATAAATCTCTTGATTTCGCTTACATTTAGTCTATTTCTGGTACCACTTCTAAAAATAATCAATCCAATGTCAATCTTGTAGACAATACTCAAATCATACACAATATCGACAGATCTAACGACATCCAAAATAATAATATTAACAATGATATTTCTAATAATAGTGGAAGCGAAGATGACACCGCTACACTTGAGGTGCAAGGAATTTCAATTTCCATAGGATTGGATCCTTCAAACTCAAAGACAAAGGATTCAAAAGAAAAAAATTGAAATAAATTTTTGGAGTGCAAAAGTCTTATCTTCAAGAATGGATCCTTAAGAAAAAGGAAAGAAAATAATAGCACCAGAAGAAATAGTTCCTCCAGCACAAGAAAGATTATCTGAAAAAAATAGACTATTCCTACAACAAAGTAGACTACAACGTATTAGCCCATTTGAGGAAATTGCAGGCAAAATTAAGAATCTACAATGCCCTTATCCTCTCCAAAGAGATTAGGGAATCATTAATAAAAGCCATTTTAGATCTCAAAATTTGCTTAGCTCAACTTGCTGACATTTCTTGGCTTTTTTGTTTGAAGCACAAATCAAGATTACTTTTTCCGACAATGACTTGTTGCTTGGTACAACTGAGCATAATCATCCATTGCATATCATAGTAACCATTAACGACACTACACTTCCAAGGGTAATTATTGACTATGGTGCCTCAATTAACATTATGAATTTGAGGACCCTTGCATAGTTGGATATTGATGCTTATAAACTGACAAGAGATAAAATGATACTATGAGGTTTCAACCAA